CAGAGAGGTGACCCACATGGCATGGCAGACCTCTCCTGACCTGCATTCTGCTTCCCTCAGCAGTGTGTTTCAGTCAGTCCACCTGTTCTGTTCTCCACTTTGTCTCTGGTAAATCCTGTCACACACACACACCACACACACACACACATACACACCTCTGTCCTATACCCCAGTTCTTATATGCATAAAAATAATTAAATCTCTAAAAAAAAAAAAAGATGAATTATCTGTGGCCCTGTCCACACACAAATAACCACCTATTTTATTTTATTTTATTTATACAGAACTGGGGTACGGGCCGGAGATGTGGAGAGTGGGAGCATTCACCAGAGACAGAGTGGGGTACAGAACAGGCAGATCGACGAAGTACATTGCTGAGAGGAGCAGCAGACGGGTCAGGAGAGGTCTGCCGCGCCATGTGGATCACCTCCGGGCAGGCGGGAATCGAACTCATGCAGAAGTGGCTTAAGCTTCTTAGTGCTGTGCTTTAACCCGCTGCGCCACCAGGGAGGGCCCTAACCACCTATTTGTAGAGGCAAATAGGTCAACAATTATATCAGAGTCTTATAAATGCCATGGCAAGCAGATGAATGCAGCAGGAATGGGGGACCTGGGCTGGAGGGCCAGGGAAGCCTGACTCAGGATTCACACTCTTGCAGCGTTGGGAGACAGAGATAGAAAAGTCTGTTCTTCCGACATGTTCCATCCTTCACAGGGAACTCACTCACTGGTCAATGCCCGGAGCCTCGTTTCTGTCTGAGGAAGGCAGAATGAAGAACATTGCACCTGAAAGACGTGGTCAATCTATCTGAGGTGAGACGGCCGGCGAGCGCTCAGTGATTTAGACAGCGTTTCTCATGGATGCTGTCATCCTGCTTCCCTAACCTGCTGGTCACCCTGAATCCCCTGTCTTTGGAGGCATCACCATCCCATCCACCCAGGGCACCAAATTAGAAATGTTGCCGAATCTCTGCTACTCCCTCCGCACTCAAGTGACAGGGATTCAATATTAGAATCCTTATCCTTTGTTTGGGTCTTACGGTCACTGTGTTCCTCTCCTAAACTGGGCATCTTCTTCATCATCGGGGCAATTCCTACCAGGACCAGACCCTCCAGCACCTTCTTTCACCCACTGCAGCACTAGGGCCACACTGCCACAGGTGCAGCTTGCCAAAAAAGCAGGTAAGATCATGACCTTTTCAAGACCATACAGCTCAAGGACTTCCAACTGCTTATTGCAATGCAAACAAAATTGTATTTTCCATGCTTATTGCAATGCAAAGAAAATTGTATTTTCTATGTTGCATATCAGGTTCTTCTAGCCCCATCTCGTCTCCTGCCACAGGTAGTCTCTCCATGCACTCCCCTGCCCCTGTACACACATCTCCCCTTGAGCCTGGGGCGAAGTGTCTCCTGTACTTCAGCCTAGGAAACCCCCACGCATACCACAAATCCCAACTCAAATATTTCCTCTGACATACCCCTTTATTTTTCCAGGAGACGTCCTCGCTCCCTCCTCAGGGATCCTCCAGCCCACACTTATGCCTTTGTCTCAGAGCTCCTGGCAATGCATTGAAATCATCCCGCCGTGTAAGTCTCTGACTGGACGCGGACTCCTCAGGGGCACCGAGCGTGTTTTATCTTTTCTTCCCAACATCTAACTATAGGTTCTGCTATGGACTAAGTCCTCAATGAGGGTTTGTGCTGTGTGGCAGGATTTCCCAGTGGTTCTTTTGTCTGTGTACATTGCCAGAGGCCTTTGGTGCCCTGGTATTCTCTCTTCAGTGGGGTAACAGGAAGCAGAGAAACCCAGCAGAGTAGGAAGCCTGGGGCCCTCTCCTTTATCCTTGGTCATAATTGTCCGACTTCAAAATAAATTCGGTAACACACCTAGTCACCAGGCTTATCATACAATCAAAGGGTGTTTGATGTTGTCGGTTTAAGTAAAAAAAAAAAAAAAAAGAGGAGTAGCTGCAGAAGTACTCCCACACCAGGGGTGTGAGGGTGGCGGTGACACTGGAGGCCTTTGCTGACAGGTGTCTGATCACCTGATCAGGTGCTGAACAGCACCGGGCATTATCCAGGCCCAAAATGTTCCCATGATACAAAGTCCAGATATATTTTATTTATTTTTTTAAGATTTATTTATGCATACAGAACTGGGGTACAGGCCAGAGGTGCAGGGACAGTGAGAGGATTCACCAGAGACAGAGTGGAGAACAGAATGGGCTGACTGAGGGTAGCAGCAGGCAAGACAGGAGAGGTCTCCTGCACCATGTGGGTCACCTCCCTGGACAGTGATGGAACTTGTGCTGAAGTAGCTCTGGCTATGTTGCGTTTTAACCCATTGCGCCACCAGAAAGGGCCCCCAGATAGATTTTAATGGGCTGATGTTAGGTCCTGCTAGTGGGGTGGGGAGCAGTAATACTAAGTTTGCCATTTATGGCATGGAAAAGATGCAGTTTTAGATTTTAAGTAGCACCTCCCACCCAAGGTAGAGGGGTGAGTCTACACTGAGAGCAGTAAAAACAGGAAGCGGGAACAAAAGGGTTACGGATTTAGTTGATCTGCCCTTAAAGTCCTTAGGCAGTGGTAACCACATGTCAAAATTACATGACTTATCTAAAATCCACCTGAAAAGAAAAAGAGAAAGAACAAAGCGGAAACTTTTGTAAATTCAAATTAGGGAAACTGAAATTTTACCTGAAATCAGTTAGAGGCTTGGATCTGTCCTGTTTAAGTTGATTCAACAAAATGCCTACAAAATAAATATATTGTTTATAAACTGGATATGAAGCTTTTTATGCAAGTGTATAAATCTGTATCAAATGGCCTTTTTTGTGGTTGTCCCCAACATCAAAAAAAGGGGATCTCTAGAAATCTCATTATTTTCCTAATTAAGTAACCCTAACTTCAAACAGTTTAATTTCCATTTTAAGGAGAATTATTTTCCCACTGACATTTAGTCAGAACAGGTGCTATTATGTTCACAGCTTTTAAGCTATTGGGATTTTTACATCTGGATGCCAGAGCTAATGAGAGGCATTTGCTCTCTTTTCTATCTGCCTTCACTATCTGAAGCACAGTTTGAAGCGTCTCGGGATATTTTGTAACTCATTAATTTTTGGCATCCTTTACAGCGTAGTGGCCAATATGATTCATTCTTTCTTTGAGCACAATTAGCTGTGAAAACAGATCTTAGAACAGACTCCCTCCACCCCAAAGGATTATTGAAGGTAGGAAATGCAGGTGATTATCAGAGCTTGCTTTGATACAGACATCCTGCCCCTCTGCTAGCCCTTTGAACTAACTTTGATATGCAATAATTAAGAGGGATTCAGCCCCTGGAGGAGAAGCCGCTGCAGCTCTGCCTCTTCGCTCCCTCTATTGAGTCCTTGTTTTGAACTATTGATCAAACAGATTTGAAGGGATTTGTTGAAGCCTGTGTGGGGTAAGAAGGAAGGAAATGGGGGAGGAGGAGAAGGATGAGGGGGCGCATGTGGCTATAAATCGTTTCAGGAGGAAACTGCTGCTCAGACATTGCTCATCTTCTTTCACGCATCTTGCAGAGAAAATTTGCTTTGCTTAAAAAAGAAAAAGCAGTTTCACGGCTTGCTAAGTATTCATTTTGGCGACAGCTCCATTGTGAGTTTAGAGTAGTCCGATTTCCGAGGAGCGGGGGAAGCTCTGCGAAGGTCGAGGAGACCGGGCCACTGAGGATGGTGGTGGCTGTCCTGTTGGGGCTGGGCTGGCTTTGCGCTCCCCTGGGGGCCCTGGTTCTGGACTTCAACAACATCAAGGGCTCTGCGGACGTGCAAGGAGCTCGGAAGGTAAATTGTAGGCGGGGAAGATGCTGGCTTTGGGTTTTAGAGAGCCATTCCGATTAATGGCTGAGATGTCTAGAAGGGAATTGGATTGATTAAGGAATGGGGTGGAATCCTGAGAGAATCTAATCTCCTCAGTCATAACATATGGAATAAACAAAGTGGCTTTGGAAGGGGGCGGGGGGACTATATTTATACATGGGTCTGCAAGCCAGGGAGTAAACTAACATTCACAAATTTCTACCTTGGCTCTGGACTTAAATACATAAAATCTTGTCTTCTTCACACCTCGAGGTAGTCATCACACCTCCTACTTACAAATGACGTGAAATTTAGCCAAAGCCACACAGTCATGAAGTATGGGCTTTAGAATTTAAACAGGAATAAGTACCAAGGCTCATGGTCTTGTCACCTGCTCACCTCACAGAATTGTTTTAGGAATCCTTTTACATATATAGATGGGAAAAGGCATCAACTGTGGGTGTAAAACTGGGTTTTGTATGTTTTTCTGGGCGGATGAAGCATCATTAGAATCGAAGGACAGTTGACTGGAATTAGTTTCACTTGAATTTTGTTGAGGTGTCACTTGACAAATGGATACGATGACTGATGTGACTCCTTAGAGTGAGAAATAAGAAAACCACACCCCAACATGATAGTTAAACTGCAGCAGTTGCTGTGTGTGTGTGTCAAAAAGTTCTTATCATTTGTAAAACACACATAGGGAAACTTTTTCTTCCATTTAACAAAGAGAATAAGAAAATTAAATTCTGAGTTTTGAAGGTAACACAGTTTTTCAAACACAAATAATCATTGCAGTACACAGGTCTCCTCACTGATGATTTGCTCTTCCTTTTGCAAGAAAAAACACAATTATATTGAAAATGAAAAACACTGCCTAAGATTAGTCACAGATTCAAAGTGCCCACTGTGATTCAATTTCATCTGCCTTCTGCCCTTGATTAAAGCCATCATTGGATTCTCCAGTCCTGTGATAACATTTCCCTTTTATAGGGTTCACAGTGTGTGTCTGACAAGGACTGCAACACCAGAAAATTCTGCCTCAAGCCTGAAGATGAGAAGCCATTCTGTGCTACCTGTCGAGGGTTACGAAGGAGATGCCAGCGGAATGCCATGTGCTGCCCAGGAACACTGTGCATCAATGGTAAGCTCAAAACCCATGCCAGGTGGTTCCTACTGGGGAACGTGGTGTTGAAACTGAGAACAGCATCTCAAGTTCATAGGCCAGAATACTTCAAGACAGGCACTCTCTAAATGTTCCTAGAATTCACGCTGGAAGTAATTTATGCAGCTACCTTTTTCTTACTGCAGCAAAACAATTTATTTCCTGGAAACAAATTTTACAAGAAACTTAGAGACAATGATTTCAGAAGGTTGAAGTTTAAATTTTTTCCATTTTTCACTTGGATTCCAGTAATTATTTAGGGATCTTCTTTGTCACATGTGAGTCTATGAAAATATTTAGTAGTGTCTCCCTGGTGGCACAGGGGTTAGTCTGGCACTATCAAGCTATTGACAGCCATTGGAGCTGACCTACTTGGCACAGCAGACCTCTGCTATCTCCCCCACTGCTCCCCTCAGCAGTGTATTTTGGTAGGTTTGCCTGTTCTGCTCCCTACTCTGTCTCTGGTGAATCCTCTCATCCCATGCACCTCTTGCCTACACCTCAATGTGTGCATAAAGATAAACCTTTTAAAAAAAAAAGTTTATTTATGCATACAGAACCAGGGTACAGGCCAGAGGTGCAGGGACAGTGAGAGGATTCACCAGAGAGAGAGAGTGGGGAGCAGAACAAGCCAACTGGCGAAGTATACTGCTGAAGGGAGCAGCAGGCGGGTCAGGAGAGGTCTGCCACGCCATGTGGGTCACCTCTGGGCAGGCGGGTATCGAACTCATATGGAAGTGGCTTGAGCTTCTTAGTGCTGCACTTTAACCCGCTGTGCCACCAGGGAGGGCCCCAAAGATAAATCTTTAAAAAAAAAAAAAATTAGTGTGCATGTCACAGAAATCTAAAAAGTTTTATGTAAGTTGAAGGCAGAGATACTGCCAAAACTCTATCATAGTATGATCATGAGTGTCTGTGGTGTTTGTTATTCCTTGAAGTTACAACCTCTAACTACAAATGGCTGTCTCTCAGATTTTTGTACCATGATGGAAGATGCAACCCCAATATTGGAAAGGCATGTCGATGACCAAGATGGCATAGATACAAAAGGAACAAGTGAGCACCCAATTCAGGAAAACAAGCCCAAGAGGAAGCCAAGTATAAAGAAATTACAAGGCGGGAAGGGTAAGAGCAGCATTCTATTACTTTTGTTTTTAATTGAAGTAACATTTATTATAACATTATATACCTATAGAGTATGCTCTGCTTCTTGTTTTTAATCTTTCTATCAGTAGCTACTGAGATCACGTAAGGCGCAATAGAAGGTAGCAGCAGGCTAAGGGGGTAGGAAGTAATTGAGTGATGAGCAAGGAAACCTATGTTTAGTAAAATTTTACACACATGTATGTTTACAGCCTACAATTTAACAAGTGACAGTTTTCTAAACCCTCAGGAATCAAAGTAAAAGAAAAATGAAAGTAGATACAATTGTTTATATCCTTGTACAAAATATAAACTCCCCTAAGACATAACATTATAAAATTGCAGTCTCAAATTTCAATCATTGACTTAATGTAGGTGGACATTCTTTATTTTTAGGTTATCTAGTCTCTTTGTAAATAATGTTTTGTGTGTAAATCCCATTTTATGAAACAGCGTTAATTCATTTCTCAAGACTGGAAGTCCCAATTTTCTTTAATAAACATTTTAACATTATGCTTTAAAATTAAAATGTCTTAACTTTATAAATCAGTAAAAATTTTTTAGGTAGGTAAGGTTGAAATTTTCATTTCATGAATGCTTCCACCATAAGCTCTAGCTTTGAACTGCCTGCTATTTCTGTTTTTACTTTGTGGACATTGATCCTATACCCCAAGACTTTTTCCCAGTAGCAAGCCCCTCTCCCCTAATGCTTCTCACCATTCTTGCTAAAGCCCATATTAATCTGGTTACAGGACAAGAGGGAGAAAGCTGTCTTAGATCTTTTGACTGTGGACCTGGACTTTGCTGTGCTCGTCATTTTTGGACTAAAATGTGTAAACCAGTCTTATTGGAGGGACAGGTCTGCTCCAGGAGAGGACAAAAAGATACCGCTCAAGCTCCAGAAATCTTCCAGCGTTGTGACTGTGGCCCTGGACTGTTATGTCGAAATCAAGTGTCTGGCAATCGGCAACATGCACGGTTAAGAGTATGCCAAAAAATCTAAAAAGATGTAAATACTTCAAAATAAATAGATTCCTTATTGTATTCAGAAAGTGTTCAGACAATAATTTTTAAATCTATATATACAAATGTATTTTAAAGTCAAGTCTGTAGCAACAGAAGTAGACTGAACTAGGTAACAGTAAGATGATGCTTGTGATAAATGGAACTAACTTTGCACTTTTGTCTAATTCCGCAGAGAAGTAACATGGCTCTATGGCCAAAAAAGTCAGCTTTGGTTCAGAAACTCAATTAGTGCAAATAAATGTTTAATTGCAGGTGAAGTTCTGATATCTGAGGGTATCTTGGGAGGGCAGGAAGAAGAAAATGATGTTAACTGTATCATTGTATCTTTAGAGAAAATTATCACTACAAATATTATATATTTTCTTCTAAACCCTACTGTGCTTTCTTGGGGGGGAAAAAAGCCATTTCACCACAAAGTAAATCGGCTAATAAATATGATTCAAAAGATGATGATATACTTGTCTAGTCCTTGCAAGTTACAAAGCATTTTCATATACTTTGTTTTCAATAACTTATGATTTGGTAACTTATTATATTTTATATTGATGTAACGTTTATATTTCAAAGCAATAGCTTTCAGGGAGTGCTTGAACTTCAAAGTTACCTGGGAGGAAAACCAGGGCAAAAAAGTGAAATTTTTGTTTGAAGTTTAATAGTTCATATTATAACTATATGGGTGCCTAGTAGAAGTGGTTTTGCCTAAGGAAACTCTTTAATAGATTATAACCCATTGCTACACACATCATACAGCTGTGTTATTTATGTTTTAAGTATTTATTACAAAATTGAATATGGGCCAACCAAAGGGAAAAATCAAATTTATGAAGGGTTCTAATTTCTCAAAAATAGTAAACCATCTTCCATAGAGGCCAGCCTCTGGGTGCACCTTAATTGACTAATTTGTAATCAGTAATTAGGAGGAAAGATAGTAGGGGTAATGTGGATTACTATATAAGGCAGAAAATGAGAAAATAAAAAGTCCCACTAAAAATCTGCTATCTTATCTCTTAATTCTATTAAACCCTTAGTAAAGTTAGACCACAAATCTAATATGTAAATAAACAGATTTGCTAGTAAAATAAGAACAAGATCACCTAATAGTACAAGACGTTTTATTATTACAATGCAAGCTAAAGCATGAAGAGGAACAATCATTTAAAAACACCAAAGACCCTTACATAGCAAAGGTTAAGAAATAAATTAAGATTCCTATTGAGCTGCAACCGGCCCGGGAGTAAGGGAGTTAGGATTAAGCCTCATTCACTTCGATCCTTGGGTTCTCGGTATTTCCACTGAATATAGTCAAAGATGTCTCTCTCACTATCCACTGGCAGGGGTTCTCCAGCAACTCCTACAAGTAAAAGGAGAAAAATAATTGGAGTCAGCTTTAGACTTAGAAATATAGGGCAGAATTGTATGGATTCATTTTCAGGACAAAAAGGCAACGGTAACCAAACCCTGAAAAACAGATAATGACCACTGTCACCCCAACGTGACCTTGTGTTTCAGCTTCCTCACTTGTTACCAGTGCCGCAAAAGGAAGCTGAGTGTCCCCACTACGGACACCTAATCTGTGATTCTCCTCTGCTGCATCACTACGAAGCTACCATGTCCCACGAAATATCCTAGTTATTGCCCTTGCTACTCTCAGTGTATTCCTTGGATGAGCAGTATTGGCATCAGTTTCACGCTTACTAGAACTACAGAATCTTGGGCCCCCCACCAAGTCCAATGAGTCAGATTCTATAATGAGGCCCAGTGTGTGTGTATGTACACTGACCGGTTAGAAGTTCTGCCCTTATCTAACAAAGACAAAAGCTCTATTTTATACTTTAGTACTAAATGACAAAATATTTTCCTAGTCTCTGTTAGAAGACCATCATTTATTGTGAAATATTAATAAGACCTATAAAGCATAAATTGAGCATTTGTTACTTTTTAAACTTACAAAGCATGGGGTCAAAGTTTGTACTGGCACTAAAAGCAATGGTACCTTGGTTCTTCATAAGTCTTGGAGATATATGTAGAAAATCAAAATCACACTTTAGATCAGTAAGATTTCTTTTATTGATCATCACATAAAGGATTTAATCTACTTTTAATAGCTCTAGAAATAACTTTTGCTACCTTTTCAACTGAGCACCTGGGAGCACCATAAGGATTAAAGCCCCTTTTGTTGCCTGAGGGACTAACAATATAAAGAAACTACAATTTACTGAATCAGTTACTGAAGGCTTTCTAGAGAAACCAAAGTTGTTAAACTTCTTTGAAAAGTTGTCGCCAGATGACCAGGATTATCTCTAGTGTAGACAGACATGCTCACCAGTGACTCCCAAGGGGCGAATTGTGTATTCATTGATTGTGAAGCCCTTTTCTAGGGCGTGAGCTCTCATATTCTTATTGAAAATGTCACTCCCAGTGAAATAGAGAACACCACAGTAATACTGGTCCTTGGGTATCAACCTAGAAAAAACAATTAGATAAAAAAGACAGATGTTTTATTAAGCATTTCAAATTTGGCAAAAATAGGGCTCTTAAATCAGTAAAGCACAAACTCCTAAAATAAGTCTATATCTCTAGTAACCTAAGAGACTGTCATTAAGTAGACTATTCAAATCACCCCAACCTTGCAGTTAAGTTTAGGTTTCAGTAAACTATGTTCTGTAAGAGGAGTGGAGAAATTAAATGTCCTTTCACTCACTACAACTAACCTTCCCTAGGAGAAAACTTTTTTTGAGCTGTAGAAGGCATCATGATGAGATGCATATCTAGAGAAAATAAATTAGGTTCTGCAGATAGCCACTGAACTTGACACTGATTTCAGGGAAACATAACACTTTAGAATAAACAGAATATCTAAGGCACATTCATGTGAATCTGAAAATATACAAAAGGAAAAGGAGGAAAGAAAGAATAAGTTAAAATGTCAACAAATTTTTAATACCTGATATCAATTCTCCTGTGTGGATATTCATTTTCATCATTTTTAGTGGGAAGCTGGCAAACACCCTAAATTAGATAATTTAAAAGAATGTTTAAAAGATGACTTTAAACTTATGGCTCAGTTTTAATTAAGTGTTCTTAAATGTGAGTTTATTTTTGCTTTCAGAATTCTGAGCATATTAGTAGCTTTTCTATGCTATGCAATGTATAATACTTTATGTTCTTATTACCTTTCTACTACACAATAATTAAAGAACAACATGAAACAACAATCATGGATCCTAGTTATAAGGATTTGGCCTTTGTGTAATTCTAAACAAGAAGTTAATCAAGGAGACTATCAAACAGGAAAACAGAGACCAAAACAGAAAGCAGCAAATTGAAGAGAGAAGTTGTTGGGGGAAGAAAACAAACAAAAACGTTATTAGCAATATTCTCAATTAACAAAGATATTCCATAAATAAGGGCAGAATGCTACAAAAAAAGAGACAAAGTTTAAACCCAGCAAGAAAATATATGATAGCAATAGAAAATTTGAAATTGAAGAAACATCTCAAATTAGAAAAGACAAATGAGAAAAGTGTAAAAGCTAACAAAATTAGAACAAAAAGTAAAGGAATATTTCCTTCCTTTTCTACAGTTGAGTTTTCATTAATGTTTTAGAGTTTTCAAAAAAAAAATTAACAAGGTCTTTTTTTTCCTTGAAAAATGGAAAAAATTCTAGATTGGTCAACAACCCTTAAAAATATAAAAACTATAAACATCAACAAATTTAAATTAAGAGTTTCAGATGCCACATTCTACAAAAATACACAAGCAATGGGTTTCTGGTTCTAAGAACAGTTGAGTTGGTATACATTTCACCAGAAGTCTTATTTTTACTCAGTAACATAGAAAAATGAAAATGTAAGTTGTGTATTTTCTTTAGCTGTTTCAATGGCTTAATGATTAATGAAACCTGTTTATCTTCAAAATAGGAAACTTACCTTCTTAACAAGTCCCAACTCAACCTTCAAATGGATCAGAAATGATTTCCATCTGGAATTAGCATGAGGTATTACCTTGCGGATATGGATGTTTGGATGCCAGAGGCAATGATCTTGCTGTTTGTCACATCAGTAATAGGATTTCATCTAATGGCTTTGTTCCTTTCCTCAAGGCTAATTTTATTTCCTGCACTTTTTCTGAAGTAGTATGTTAAAGAATTTCTCTCTATTACTGTAAATTCTTTATTATACTGAGTGGATTAGTTTTGTTTGGCATTTTAATTAGGTAGTAGCCCATGCTAAATGTCTGAAATAAAGCTTCTTTTATTTCTTTGAGGCAGTAAGTTATCTTTCTATTGTCTCCTGAAACCTTACTGAAAATCATCCACAGCCAAACCTGAACAAAATGCTAAAACTTGAATGGTGTTCATCACCTAGGAAACAAATAAATATCTAAATGAAGAGGAAATTGTGTTTTTTCCCCTTCCAAATGCTAGTATACTCACAGGAAGAACAGTTCACTTATCTAAAGACCATAATTTTACTAAAAAAAAAAAAATCCATAAAACCCTGACTTACCTAAGGCTTGATTACTACTAGTTTAAAGGAATTTGTTTTGAAGATGATCCTATCTTTAGTTAATGGATGTAGCAACAAGAAGTTTGAGATCAAGTAACTACTGAGTGAGTATGGTTTATTTCACTTTATAAACTGAATTCATCTTGTAATCTATTTCACTTCAGAAACCTAGAGTTCTTAAATTCTCTGGATAGCTCTGTTCGTATACTTAGGATCACTGTTCTAACTCCTACCTGGCTATCTTTTCCCCCAGATAATGTTTGGTTAATTTCCTTCCCTTATTTGTCTTCCCAATGGGGCTGCTTCTGATCATCTTATTTAATACTGTCTCCTGCATTCCCATCACCTCATACTGTGTTTTCCTTTTTTTTTTTTAAATTGTACTTCTAACATACATTTTATCTTTTTATTATGTTCACTGTTATCTACAAGTTCCTTTGCACCTCCACATATAGGCATGATAAATCATAGTTCCCAGTGCCTCA